GCAGGCCACGAAGTGAAGTGTCCGAACGTCATAGGGCGGGAAGCTGGGTGTGGGTGGTGGCGAAGAGTCGTTTGGAAATGTGGTAGAGCTTGAACCGGCCCCCCCACAAAGTGGGGGTATTGGCGGGCGTCGTATGAAAACCCTGGCACTGGTGAGAACGGAGTGTCCCCACGTGCTAGTAATTGTTGTTGTTGTTGTTGTTGAACATTATTAATTCTAAAGAATAATTATTGTTGGGCCCCCTGGTGCACGGCCCCCCTGCGCCGCCTAGGCCGCAGCTACATTTTCATCATTTTCGTGAGGAGCCTCAGGTAAATGTCACAAGATCCGTTGTTTTTTTTTCCCTTGCAAAAAACACTATAAAATGACATTTCTTGTTCTAATATAATCAAATTTCAAGAATCCCTTGCAAAAAATAAGGTAAAGTGGACATTCGCGCGCGCAAGACGAAATCCTTCCAAAAGCTTAGTGTTCGCAGCGATTTTAACATAAAAACATCAAAAAACCAATGGTTTTTCAACAAAAAACTGTCAAAATCTCATCCCGCGCGCTCTTGCGGATTCGTAGGAAACCCAACACTTTTTAAACATTTCTGTCAAACGGGCTTTTGCGAGCAACTTTTTCGAACTTCTGCGACAACGGTTGCGCACCTGCCAGGGCCATCATCCCTGTCAAATAATACCATGCGGGACACATTCGTTTTTTCTTCGCGCGCGCACGCCGAAATCTCCAAAAACCATTGGGCTTCTTAAGAATTTTAGCACCGCGCATCATAAAATCACACGAATCGCACCGTAGGTCCTCGAAAAACACCTGCACGACTTTTCAAAATTTCTACCCGCGCGCGCTGTCCTAACAACTTCTGTGGGTGTGTACTCCACGCCAGTGTAGTAGCCACGGTCGTCCGCAGGCCACGAAGTGAAGTGTCCGAACGTCATAGGGCGGGAAGCTGGGTGTGGGTGGTGGCGAAGAGTCGTGTGGATATTTGGTAGAGCTTGCACTGCCCCCCCACAAAGTGGGGGTATTGGCTGGCGTCGCATGAAAACCCTGGCACTGGTGAGAACACTGAGCGTTCGGGTAAAGTGATTGTTGTTGTTGTTGTTGTTGTTGTTGTTGTTGTTGTTGTTGTTGTTGTTGTTGTTGTTGTTGAATTTTCATTTCTGAAGAATAATTATTCTTGATCCCCCCACCAGTGCATACTGTTTTTTCTCAATCAAAGTGTGCCCCTCGACGCTCGCACCCTGTTTTTTGACAAGGAAGGTCTTCCTAGTCAAACTGGGCCCCTGGCCCCCGGGTTACAACAACAACGGCTCCCGCCTGAGACTTCTTTAAAATTTGGCCAGGACCCCCGCTCCCGCCCGAGACTTCCTCGCATTTGATTCAAGAATCGCGCTCTCGCTTGGGACTTCGGTACAATTTATTTAGGAATCGCTCTCCCGGCGCTCTGGAGTCCCGCTCTCGCTGGAGAATGGCCTCGCGTTGGAATTTCCTGCAATTTGCCCAAGCGCCGCGCTCCCGACACCCAGGCACCCAGGAGTCGCGCCCGTTGTGGCCCCATGTGCATGCCCTTCGTGGCCCCGCTGTCGCCGTTTGTGCCCCCCTCACTGTTCTACGTGGCCTAATATAAAGGGCGAACAGTCTTGAAATTGAACATTATTACTTCTAAAGAATAATTATTGTTGGGGCCCCTGGTGCACGACCCCCCCGCCGCGCCTAGGCCGCAGTCTCATTTTCATCATTTTCGTGAGGAAGTCTCAGGCAAAACGGGTTGGTCCGGATCCGGTTGTGTTGTTACGATCGGTTTTCCCTTGCAAAAAAAAGCTTAAGTGGACATTTCTTGTTCTAACATAACCAAACTTCAAGAACCCCTTGCAAAAAATAAGGTAAAGTGGACATTCGCGCGCGCAAGACGAAATCCTTCCAAAACCTTAGTTTTCGTAGCGATTTTAACATAAAAACATCAAAAAGCCAATGGTTTTTCAAAAAAAATGTCAAAAATTCATCCCGCGCGCTCTTGCGGATTCGTAGGAAACCCAACACTTTTTAATCATTTCTGTCAAACGGGCTTTTGCGAGCAACTTTTTCGAACTTCTGCAACAACGGTTGCGCACCTGCCAGGGCCATCATCCCTGTCAAATAATACCATGCGGGACACATTCGTTTTTTCTTCGCGCGCGCACGCCGTCGTCGTCGGCCGCGGGGCCCTGAATAGTAGCCACGGTCGTCCGCATGCCACGAAGTGAAGTGTCCGAACGTCATAGGGCGGGAAGCTGGGTGTGGGTGGTGGCGAAGAGTCGTTTGGAAATTTGGTAGAGCTTGAACCGGCCCCCCCACAAAGTGGGGGTATTGCCCGCCTCCTATGAAAACCCTGGCACTGGTGAGAACGGAGTGTCCCCACGTGCTAGTAATTGTTGAACATTATTAATTCTAAAGAATAATTATTGTTGGGACCCCTGGTGCACGGCCCCCCTGCGCCGCCTAGGCCGCAGCTACATTTTCATCATTTTCGTGAGGAAGCCTCAGGTAATTCGATGTGATCAAGATCCGGTTGTTTTGTTCCCCCCCGCTTTCCCTTGCAAAAAACACTATAAAATGACATTTCTTGTTCTAATATAATCAAATTTCAAGAATCCCTTGCAAAAAATAAGGTAAAGTGGACATTCGCGCGCGCAAGACGAAATCCTTCCAAAAGCTTAGTGTTCGGAGCGATTTCAACATAAAAACATCAAAAAACTAATGGTTTTTCAACAAAAAAATGTCAAAATCTCATCCCGCGCGCTCTTGCGGATTCGTAGGAAACCCAACACTTTTTAAACATTTCTGTCAAACGGGCTTTTGCGAGCAACTTTTTCGAACTTCTGCGACAACGGTTGCGCACCTGCCAGGGCCATCATCCCTGTCAAATAATACCATGCGGGACACATTCGTTTTTTGCGCGCGCACGCCGAAATCTCCAAAAACCATTGGGTTCTTAAGAATCTTGTGTACCCCACGCCAGTGTAGTAGCCACGGTCGTCCGCACGCCACGAAGTGAAGTGTCCCAACGTCATAGGGCGGGAAGCTGGGTTTGGGTGGTCGCGAAGAGTCGTTTGGATATTTGGTAGAGCTTGTAATGCCCCCCCACGAAGTGGGGGTATTGCCTGGTGTCGTATGAAAACCCTGGCACTGGGGAGAACACCACGCGTTCGGGTAAAATGATTGTTGTTGTTGTTGTTGTTGTTGTTGTCGTTGAACTCTCATGTCTGAAGAATAAATATTGTTGATCCCCCCCGTCCGGTGCACATTGTGTTTCTGATTGAAGTGCCCTTCCCGGGGCTCGCACCCTGTTTTTTATCAGGGAAAGTCTTGAGGGTCAAACTGTGTCCTTGGCTCCCAGTTTGCCAACAGCGGCTCCCGCCCGAGACTTCCTCACAATTTAGCCAGGACCCCCGCTCCCGCCCGAGACTTCCTCGCGTTTTATTCAGGAATCGCGCTCTCGCTTGGGACTTCTTTAGAATTTATTATCCTGGCGCTCTGGAGTCGCGCTCTCGCCGGAGACTTGCGTGCAATTTACTAAAGAATAGCGCCCTTGCGTTGGAATTTCCTGCAATTTACTCAAGCGTCGCGCTCCCGACACCCAGGCACCCAGGAGTCGCGCTCACGCTTAGGACTCCCTCACAGATTACATAGGAATCGGAATCTCGCTGCCCTTCGTGGCCCCGTTGCAGCCCTTCGTGGCCCCGTCGCAGCACTTCGTGGCCCCGTTGCAACCCTTCGTGGCCCTCTCGCTGCCTTTCGGGGCCCCGTTGCAGCCCTTCGTGGCCTCCTCGCTGCCCTTCGTGGCCCCATTTCAATCCTTCGTGGCCCCCTCGCTTTGTTTCGTGGCCCCGTTGCAGCCCTTCGTGGCCCCCTCGCTGCCCTTCGTGGCCCCGTCGCAGCCCTTCGTGGCCCCGTCGCAGCCTTTCGTGGCCCCCTCGCTGCCCTTCGTGGCCCTGTTGCAGCCCCTCGTGGCCTCCTCGCTGCCCTTCGTGGCCCCGTTGCAGTCCTTCGTGGCCCCCTCGCATTGTTTCGTGGCCCCGTTGCAGCCCTTCGTGGCCCCCTCGCTGCCCTTCGTGGCCCCGTCGCAACCCTTCGTGGCCCCGTCGCAGCCCTCCTTCGTTGCCCCGTTTCAGCCCTTCGCGGCCCCGTTGCAGCCCTTCGTGGCCCCATATATGTATGCCCTTCGTGGCCCCCCCTCGTTCGCGCCCGTGGTGGCCCCATATGCATCTGTCCTAGGTGGCCCAGTTGTTACCCTCAATGGCCCCATACTTGCTTTCTGTGGCCCCGCATTATCTGCCCTTCGTGGCCCCCGCTCGTTCGCGCTCTTCGTGGCCCCATACGCATTCCCTTCGTGTCCCCGCTGTTGCCCTTCGTGGCCTACTTCGTGTCCTTGTGGCCCTGCTGTCGTTCTGTTTCGCTCTCGCTTTCGCTCGTCGTCGTCGTCGTCGCCGTCGTCGTCGTCGTCGCTGTTGTCGTCGACGTCGTCGTCGTCGTCGTCGTCGTGGTCGGTCCCTTGTCCGTACCTCTTGGGGTCGGATCGACGGTCCGCGGCCGCCCCGCCGATCAGCGCTGCCACTGGCCAGGCCGACGGTCCGCGGCCGCCCCGCCGCTTGCCGGGGCCTGGCAAGCAGGGAAGAAAGGTATACCCCCAAAGGGGTTTCGATCGAAGACGAAGAGGGCGGGTATCGAGGGTTTGGGAAAGAAGCGTTATTGGAGACTCGAGCAAGGGCGAACAGTCTTAAAATGATTGTTGTTGTTTTTATTTGTTGTTTATTTATTTTTCTGTTCTGTTAATTTTGGTTGGTTGCCATCCACGGGCCCCAGAAAGGCTTCGACCCCTCCCCCTGGGGTGATTCTTCGCCCCGGGTCCATGCTTGATGCCCCTGGAGGCCGAAGTGGCCCCCCCCAGGCGCGGGACCCAAGCGAGAAGCAGCTCGCCCGAACTCCGGGAGGGGGCGAGCGAGAAGCAGCCCGCGGGGCTCCCGGCCAGCGTCGCCGCAGGTGAAGTGCTCGCCGCCCTCGCAGCAGTCGCGGCCCGCGGCCCAGTACTGGATGTCCGCGATCCCGAGGGATGCCCTGCCCCCCGTCTGTGCTTCGACGTCGCGATCGAGGGTCGATGCTTTTGAGAATCCGTCTTTTGCCCTTTTTCTGCCTCCTGGAAACTTCTCGTGGCCGCGCCTGGATTCGCCCGAAAATAAGGGCCAGAATGCACCCCTGGCCAGGTCCGGGTGTCTACTTTGGACCCCTGGACCTAGGTCACCTCGCGTCGTGAAAGCAACGTGACAACAAAATTCAAATGGTTTTCGGATCCACGGGGCCTTCACGGAGCCCTGGGGCCGTCAAAAAGACCCAGATGAAAAGACGGTTCCAGTGAAGGGGTCGACATCTCGGGGGGTCGACGTTGTGAAAAAAGACGTCGTCGGGGGCTGGGGATGAGGCGGAAGAGGGGGGAGGAGGATGAGGAGGAGCAGGAGGAGTCGAAGGATGAGGAGAGAGGGCACGGGTATCGACGCGACGCGGGGCGAAAGGGACTTGACATGGAGGGACGAGAAAGCGCGCGATTCGCTCGGAATGTGGCCAGTTTCGCGGCGCAAGCTGCAAACGCACAGACCCAGGTCCTCGCCCTTGCCCCCGTCTCCTCCGCCCCCTCCTCCTCCCTGAGATCCGAGCGTCGTACTTTTTTTACGCTCGGTGCTCTCGCCCGGTCGCGCCGGGCTTAGCACTCCAGGGCCCCCACGGATCGATGCACGGCGAGAAGTGCATCAGAGACGCGAGGCCCAGAGCCCCTATCGTGACTTCGTTTTTGTTGTTAAATTTTTCCAGTGTTTATGATTACTATTACAACTCTTCTTCTTCTTATTATTATTATTAGGATTATTATTGTTGTATGGTCATCAATTTCTGTTGAAAAAATAATACATGACTGTTATTGTTTCAAGTGTGCTAACAACAATCCAGTCGCAAGTCAGGGGCTCCCTTCTCCTTGTCCATCGGTCGGATACATAGTAAATGCCTTCCCACGGTCCCGCCCTGGCTGACAATGCCACACTCAGATGTACACCTCTTTCTTACCAAGCTCGGCGCGTACTCGTGTTCTCGGTAGCCCCCCGTGGGTACCGAACCCTTTTGAGTGCAAGCCATATCTTGAAGAGCGCGCTCGATATACATGGGCGCTTCTGCTGTTGCTCCCGTCATTCGATTCCCCATCCTCGGTGGCACGGCCTTCAGAGCGATAGCAGGCACCGACCGTGCCCGAATCTTCCAGAGCAGCAGCCGACGTTGAAGACGGCACGCTCTCGTCGCGACGGTGCCGGCGTTGGTTGCTGACGCCGCCCGGGTCGTCCCGCCTCGATCGGCCCAGGCTCTCCGCTGGCGCAGATTTTCCAGTACCTCGAGGCTTCCCATGTGGGGTTGGAGCAGAGGGGGTCGGAGGATCTCGCCGCGTCGCCGATGCATGGCGATGCATCGTCGATGCCTCTGCGATGCATCGGCGACGTCGGCGATGCAGCGGCGACGTCGGCGTGACGAAAGTCAGGCCCCACATCGAGCCGCATCGGCGACGCATCGACGAGGCGGTGCGATCGTCCGACCCATCTGCTCGGAATCCCAGCAAGGAAGCCTATAGCCCCAGAGGTCGGGTGGATAGCCTTCTGTACATCGCCGCGAATCGCACAATGGCCTTTGGCATGGGACTCAACGCCAAGAAGACCAAGATCATCATCTGTTCCACGGCAAAATATCTATCAACACAAAAGAGGACATGGCCAGCATAAAGAACGCCATCATCGACCTCCTACCAACACCAATGAGGATCGTGCGCCGCCAGCGAGCGTTAGGTACCGCCATTGCCTCGACTACTTCAATGTGGCCAGAGCTCGAGAAGAGGACAGGAAGAGGAATTGCATCCACAGAATCTTAAAGAAACGAGGTCAACCCAAGGAAGAAGCTATCCATTCCAAAGACAATTCTCTACACCGAGGCCGTCACGAACTCCACAATGCTATTCAGCATCCAAGTCTGGCACGAACTGACCGAGAAAGAACAATAGACCCTCACGGCAGAACGCATGAAGGGGTACAGTCTTTCGGCGGGATGCAAGGCCAATATCCACGACAAACAGAGGATCACCAACGAGGAGATACTCGACATTACGAAAATACCCATTATGTAGACCACCTTCCACATATACAGCCTTCGATACCTGCCGATGCTTCTCTTGCACGCGCCAACGGCCCCACTGAGACTGCTGGTCCATACGCTAGCATGAAGGGAAGCTGGAGACCGCCAACAGCGACATACTATGGATTTGCGGCAAGCTCGACGACCAGCAGAAGCCCAAGCAGGACCCACGCATACACCACTTCGCCCAGTTCATCACCCAAGAGCCACAGAAGTTCAGGGCCCTACTCAAGGCGGCAATGGCAGGGAACCAAAGTCTGCTCGAGGGCACGGCCCACTAGGACCAATGGCACGCCAAGCTCCAGAAGTACCATGGAAGCCAGGAGGTACCTCACATACCAGGCAGAGAGCCGAGCGAGGACGACAAAAAGTACACGTGCTACGAATGCGGAGAGATCTTTGCCACACAGCAGACCTACTACATCCACACAAGCAAGTAGCACCCCGCGGAGACGAACCCTACTACGTGGGCCACCGGGAACAGATGCCTTACATGCAGCAGGGAGTACCACGGCTACGCAAGGCTCGTGACGCACCTCAAGGCGACACCAACATGCGCCAACCCATGGTGCAGCGGCACTGGCCGACTGGACAAGCCAGAGATCGAGAACAGCCAAGATGCCGTGAGAACCACGCAGTGGGCCAACATTAAGGTGGGCAGACTCGAGAACTGCGCCGACAACCCCAGCCACAAGACGGATGCCCCACCTGCGTTCCAGAGAGACCCGACAGCGACCGCGATGAGACCAGAGTCTGCCCTGGCACCAGTGCGAGAGGAGCCCGAACCGCCACATGACAAGGGGACCAAGAGGAACAGCGAAGGTGGTGCTGCATGTATACAGCGGGTAGAACAGAGAGGAAGCCATACAGCACTGGGTGGAACAGTTACTGCACCCCGCAGAGGCACAACTATACCCTCTGCATCGACATCGCCAACCACGACGAAGAGCCACCGCGTTAGCATAGTGGGCAGCCGAAAGCCCACTGCTGGCGATGGGACATGCGGCAGCCGCCCTGACGACAACCAATTCCAAGACACCTGCATCTCTAACCATGCCACCCACCCCTCCTAAGCCTACTGTCGGCGTCAGTACATGCAGGAGGAAAAGCCAGCAAGGAATACAATATTGACGATACCCCGACCAGCATGCCCAAGCACCTAGAGTTCGGAAAATAATCATCTCGGGATAGGATGCGGTCACCAGTTTAGAGACGAAACTGAACAACACAAGACCAGGCAGGATACGTAATTGACCAGCAGTGCCACAGAGCTAGCAGAAACCACATCTACACGGTCACATCTCCCATCGTCCCCTCCCTCCTTTCCATGCTGGAGCGTCAGACCAAGGTCCATGTTATCAGCGCAAGCTCGACTCAACGGACCTTACAGGAACCAGCAGCCTGAACAGCGTCCTTATGGCCAGAACCTATTGGCTGTCACACCCTAGGCCGCTGGACCATGCAATGGAACAGCCGCGGGACATCGGTCCCAAGAGGATCTGCGAAGGCGACACGCAAAACTACAACTATTGCACAACTAAAGACGACTGGGCTACTACACCTAAGCTCGCGATGCACAACAGCATCAGCATCGCTATCCACACATCATACAAGGACCCCAGCATCCTCAACACCGCGCGCACCAGGGCCATATAGCCAATCGACAGCCAGCTGCGACCTGAGAATGCACCTGAACGATTCAGGACCTGAGCCTACCACCGTTGAGGACACTCAGCGCAGGATACCAGCACAAGGGCGGCGACCCGCACTACGCCCTCACTTACATCCCCGACGAGGAGCGAAGACTGGGGATCGGAGCCGCCGAGCCCTGCAGGGGGGATAGTCAGAAAGGGACTCGCAGTCCCAAGTGGCACCCCCACAGCTCGCCACCGAGTATACATGCACCGCGGTCCACTGGGGCCCGACCCACCGGGCATCTAAAACGGTCGACCGCTACAGCATGAACGCTCTACGAGCACCACGCTACCCTAGCGTGCCTGCCAGCAACCGACCAAGGATGACAAAACAAGTTCCACGATTGCATGGTTGAAGCACAGAGGCAATACTTTTACTTCAACTTGGGAGGCTGCGTGCGCTTGGACCAACACTGGCTCAAGCGCCCACAGCTTATCCCCCACTGCCAGAAAGTCGTCGACTACAAAGACGACTAAAACGCGGACAGAGGACATGCCGGATACAATGGACACGGCAAGACCCAGCCCCTGATAACACTATCATGGGAGAGGGTAAGGCAGCTTGCAGAGCGGGACCCACCCTTGTTGGTGCTGACCAACCCCTCCATCGACCACAATGAGAAGGATTGGACCAACATCAAGCAAATCCGCAGCGTCTACACGAAACAGGCCACCAAATGTCGAAGCTGCGAAGCAGCTGAGCGCAAGACAATCCACAGCAACCGAACGACGGATGACCTTTCGTTAACTTCGTACACTTGGGCACGGCGCCAGACTACAATCTGCTCTTGCCTTCGGAAGCGAGGACGGTATGAATGTACTTAGGGGACATTATCGAGACCATGGGCGCCATCGCAATGCATCCCACCACCGACGTCTGCATCATCCCCCCCCGATGACACTCACCACATCAAGCCGCATATCAACGGAGGCCTACACGTGCTTCCAGGGGATCCAACGGTGGACCAGGTATCACTCTTCTACTGAAGTCACAACGAGACCAACACCCTGGACCTCTACAGTGCATCCTACAGACTACCGCTGTGACCAGAGCAGTCAATTGAAATGACGCTTGGGTCGGGAGCAGGCAACCTACCCACATGGCCAGCAGGGCTCGGATAACTCCAGCACGCAGGACCCGTCTCAGTATACCAGGACGTAGCCACCGACACAGCAGACGACGTCGGCAACGCCATCACGACCTGGACGATCGACGGCACGGGCAACATTGACATGGAACTCATACCTCGAAAAAAAACCACTCCCATTGCGAGACAGATGTGAAATGCAACACCGTGACATACGCCCGTCAAGATCAGATTCCCTGGGAACCTCTTCGAAAACAAGATGACCGACTACAGCACCACCGAAGAATAATACATACCAAACTTGAGAACAAGCTGAAGGAGCTCCGTGAACCATCGAGCTAAACCAGGACCTCGAGCAGGACGAGCAGCTCAACGTATCGAGCATTACACATTGCCTTGACTTCACGATATGTGTCCAACCTGGAAGGTCATCGACACAACCGAGCGCAAGCCACTCACCTTCACTCAGCCCGGGTAAAGGAGTGCGCAGGCTTTTCCCCATTGCTCGCAAATTGGGAGTATTGTCATCATACCTATAGCGAAGCACGCACCCACGACAGCACGTAGATGGACAACGTACCCAATGGCAACCCAACGGCCGATTGACCTCACACCCATGTGCAACCCGCACGCTCGCACCGTGCCGCTGATCTATGAGCCAACCGCGCCGAAGAAGGAGCCACCGAACTTGGACGGCGGGATGCCATCACTACCAGAGCATGCCATGATACAACCGTGCCCATGGATATCCGACCCTAACAACAACACCGCGCGGGCTTACTACCACACCCCGCAAATGCGTGAGACAACGTGGGAATACCCAGGGGACTGGAAGCTACGATAGCATTGGAAGAAACACCTGACCAACAACAACACGGATACCTTTTGGTACGCGAACGAAAACACGGGTGAACTAGTCATCAACAGAATGCCCCCTCCAAAATCGAAGGCGACGAACCCAATACACCGCTACCGCCAGGACCACCTCCTGCGAAAGCCAACGAGGCGATGGATCTAACGCCACCAGGGACAATTCACAAGTTGCGGTATAGCAGCAAATGCAACAATGCCAACGACTATCGCAAGAACGTCATTTTCGCCATCCAGCTCAACCACCAGGACCCACTATCCTCATTCGCAAACATGAAGTATGGACAAGAGCTGCTGCAGGCAGCCCAAGTCGTCAAGGACATCGCGAGGGACCTGCTCACGGGCTACATCGACATGGGCATAATACTGGCGCAGCTATGAGGCATACAGGACGGGGAGGACAAACTGCGTGCCGCTGGCAACCACCCAAGATCCTAGCAACGACATCCATGCGCCGACCGACAACGACCCGATCGCGGTGTCCAGAGGCTGCGGCTCTAGATGGTGCGTCGAAGGGGAACCCTATTGGCGGCAAGTGTAACAGATGCAGTGGCACCGACATCGTGTGCCACGACAGCAGCGAGTGGGCCGACGTCTTCGACCAAGCCTCCCCACGCACCGACGAGGTCTGCCCGCCGATGGCCCGCACTACCCGAAGGCACACAACACGAGCGCGTTCGCACCCGAAGGCACCACCTATCGGAACGCCAGTGGAAGCGCCTCACAGGGTTGAAGCGCAGCAGACTGAGCCCGCCGACAGTGCAGACCACCACTACAGACCACGCGTGGCCGCCGAGGCACAAGGCGCCGCCCATCACCACTCCCCGGGGGAGCCCCACACCCAACCGCGTCACCACGCAGCAAGTCGCCAAGATCCACCACGGCAGACGACACGTATGCAGCCACGCCAACCGCACCGGCGATACGACTGCCACCACCGCAGCCGAAGGAGGCACCGCCCACGAGTGCCAGCATCCAGGCCGTCGCCATGACCCAGGCCATGGACAATGACCAACTACCAGCAAGTGGCACGGCGGCGGGCAGCACCAACGACAACAACAACCGCTGCACCCCGCACGCGCCGCCATAGGCTAAAGACGAAGGCAACTTCCCCGTCACCATGTTCTTCATGACAAAGCTGGACCACCCAGACGGCGACGTCAACCGAGTCCGCACGTCATACCAGGACTGGGCGCTGGAGGAGAAGTACAAGGACATATGCCTCACCATCAAGAAGGGCGAGCACATCCGCATCACAACCCGAGAGCGTGGACACCCACTGGCTACTGGGCCTGGGGAGAACGTACCTCGGACGACACCATCCACCAAGCACGCGAGCACGGCGAAGAATCACAGCTACCACTACTCCAGACAGAGGGCATCGACCCCAACCACCTGATCGACTACAAAGCGTACATCTCCAGCATTACCGGCGCCATCGTCAGCCTCCGCCTCACGATGGAAGCCGAGGACCTCGACGAGTGCCGCCGCGCCGTGCTGGACATCATGCGCCGCGCCATCTTCCGCGAGAGGACCGCGGGCCGCCGCACCCTACAGGCGGAACGCACACACAACCCTCTGCAGCGGGCACAGGATCCAACGAGGGCATCCACGACCACCACCCGTGACCTACCGATGCGACGCCACACGCAACCATGCCTCCACCTCTCCGCTGTCCCTCCGAGGATCGGCGGAAACCAGGTCCCGAGAACAGGCGCGCACGCGGCAACGACCTCAGCCCAACGCCTGGCAACATGCGATTCCCTGCCCGGTGCTGGGAGCAGACCCGTGGCACGGGCCATCCTCACCTCGAGGAGCCCCAGCATCAATTCCAACCACTCTTAGCGTCAACCTATAGGCCTCCCAGGACTCCACCAGTTTTGCCTCACCAGCGGCATAACAACTACCTAGCTGGCTATCCAGCTGGCTCCTACTTTCTACAGAACTCTCAACACTATACCACATCCTTACTACGCGCTCACTGCCATCACGGCAGCAGCAACACCAGCTACTTCACGACGCGGCACCAGCTGCTCCAGCATACGTCTACATCCACAGCCGCAGCCTTGTCTACCGAAACTACCTTGCACTCTCATTCCTGGTAAACTCCGTGGGCAGGGCAACGGCAACCTCCACCTCTACATCCACTTGCGGCTTCCTGTGCTACCTGCACCTCCACTGCCTCACTGCCTGCAAAGCCATCCTCGTCGGGCACAGTCTCTGCCTCCTCCTCTGAGGCACCTCCAGCCCCAACTAACCTACCCCTCCCTCACCTGTTCTGCCTGTGAGACCCTCTCCCCACACCTTTCACATGCCAACCTTCACCTCCCCTCGCACAGCCAGCGCCGGCACCAGGGAAAGGGAGCTGGACGGATCAGGCACCATGACGGGGGGGAGGCACGCGGCCGGGCCGCCGTCGGCACGTGCCTCCCAGCAAAGGCTGGGAGGCTGTGGACCGCCCCACCCCTCGCCATCGCTCGGACGTCCATTTCCTGTGCATTTTTCGGTTTCGTGCGTGTTTTTTTTGCTCGGTGGTCCAGGATCGTCCTCAATGGTTCTCGCCGAGAAAATTTGCACACGTCCGAGCGATGCCAGGCCCCCTAGGCACAAGAGCCACGCCGAGAGGGCTCCCACTCCCCCTCGTCGGGGGGTGGGGGCCCCGGGCCACCTCACCCCCTCAACCTGTCACTCGATTCCCGTCTCTTGCGCTCTCCGTCCTCCTCCGCCGCACGCTCGGCCGCCACCCTGTCCCGCTCGCAGCGCCGCTTCGCCCCACCGCCCCCCCCCCCGTCCAAGACCGCCTCCTGCGCTGCGTCCCGCCGCGCCGCAGCTGATGCGCTGCACCACCCCCCTGCCTTCCCTCGGACCTCGGGCAGGATGCGCTGGAGGTGGGCCCCCACTCCAGGAGAGGCGAGGCGTCCCGAGAGGGGGCAGGGGCGCATGCTCGGCCCACCTCATGCAACCGCACAGCGCCAGCGCACACAGGCGCCACCACCTCCCACCTCCCCCCCCCCCTCCCGAGGCGCATGATCTTGCGGGCCCTCCGTCTTCCCTTCTTCTCTTGCTCTTTCTCTTTCTCTCTCTGCCTCTTGGCTTTTGCTCGCCCTCCCCCCGCAGGTCGCGGGGAGGGGGTCCCGAGGGCATCGGCGCTTCGACGCGAACTCGTCCGCATCACCGAGCCACCGAGGAGGACCGATCCGAAACACTTAGAGCCCAGGATCGAATCGATAAGTCGGATCGGCGATCGAAATGAATCGGATCGGCGGAGATCGGCAGCCGAGTCGGGAAACGTCGGATCGGCGGACGTCGGCGAGCCGAAACGCCTCCAGTGACATGATAAACATCGGAGCGCACGTCGGCACCCCAGGCCGAGGCGAATCGGCATCCGACGCCGTCGAGGTCGAGGCCAACGTCGAGGCGGAGGCATCGGAGCGAGCCCCGCCTGCAGCGGCCGGCCCCCGTGGCGGGCGCGGCACAGGTGCGGCGGGGGCGCCCCGCGGAGCGCCCCCCGCGCCCTGCGCGGCGCGTGCCCCTCTCGGAGGCCTGCACGCCTCCGCGCCTCTCGCGCGGCAGCGGGCGCGCGGGAGGCGCGGTGCCGCGCTGGCGCGCCTCGCGCCGGGCCCCACGCCCCGCCCCGCGGCGCGCGCGGCGCGCGGCCAGCTGCCGCGGCCCGCCTCTCTGGGGCAGGCCGCGGAGCGGCGGCAGGCGGCGGAGCGGCGGCGGCGGCCCCTCGTTCCTCTCCCCCCCCCCTCCTCCCTCCCCCTCCTCGTCGCCGTCATCCTCCTCCCCCCCCCCTTCGTCGTCGTCGTCGTCGTCGTCGTCGTCGTCGTCGTCGTCGTCGTCGTCGTCGTCGTCGTCGTCGTCGTTCGTCGTCGTCGTCGTCGTCGTTCGTCGTCGTTCGTCGTCGTCGTCGTCGTCGTCGTCGTCGTCGTCGTCGTCGTCGTCGTCGTCGTCGTCGTCGTCGTCGTCGTCGTCGTCGTCTTCGTCTTCCTTCCTGGCAGTCGTGGGCACCTGTGGCGCCCTGGGAGGCGCCACAAAGTACCCACCCTCCTTCCTCCTCCCTCCTCCCACCTTCGCCCCCTGCTCGTCGTGGTCCTCCTCCTGCTGCATCGGATCAGGGGCAACGTTCGCGCGCGGCGTGGACGAAACGATTGGCCGCCGTGCGCCCCCCCCCTCTTGGAAGCCGAGGGTGAAGGGCAACCAACCGATCAACGAACGACTGGCGACGAGGTTTCCATCAGCACGGCTCGGTGCGGCCGCATCATGCCTCCATAGCCGAGCAAAGGAGGGTAGAGTAAAGGAGGGTAAAGTCGAATGTGGGAGACTAGAGTAGAGTAGAGCGTAATGTATCTATATTCCTCTTCCTATATTTTTATAAGCCCGGGCGGGGGGAAAACCCATCCCCCCCCCCCCCCCCGGAAACCGGATTCCCGGGACCTGGGGCTTTCGGGCCCTCCGGACGGGCCTCGAAGCGGCCACCGGGCCTCGCAAGGCGTTTTGCCAAGCCTTCTCAGCACACTTAGGGCGATCACGGGGGACATCGGAGACGTCCCAGAGACCCCCAAGACAGCACAAGAGCGCTCCAAGAGTGACCGACGTGACCTCAAGATGGTCCAAGAGGCCTCCAGGACGGCCCCAAAGAGGCCTCCATGAGCACTCCCAAGAAGGCCCCCCGAGGCAAAAATCATTGATTTTCTGTTGGTTTTTTTGGTGAATTTTGGGGTTCTCCTCTTTGCGGCTTCCCGACGCTCCAAGACAGCGGTCTTCTGTGCGTCCGAAGCCGCCTGAGAGGCTCCCAAATCGCCCCACAACCATCCGAAAGGGCTTCCAGGCAGTCCAAGAGAGCCCCAAAACGGCACAACACGGGTCCAAGATGGCCCTCAGAGAGCCCCATGGCGGCCCAAGATGGCCCAAAGACACCCTCCGAAGAATTCCAAATCGTGGTTCGGTCGTTCAGGGAGACGGCGGTTGGAGGCAGGGTGGCCCGAGGAAGCCCCCGGAGGCCCCCAGAATACGCTCAGGAGGCCTCCAGAAGGCCTTAAGAAAGCCTGAAACAACTTTTTTCTGGCCCCCAGAGGCTCTCCAAGGAGGAGCCTCCGCAAAAAAGAGCTGAGGAGGATGGGGAGACTGCGCAGGGTATGGCGAAACTCAGGAACAATGAGCATGGAGGAAGGAGATCGAATAATATCACTATAGCGGCGATGCCGGGAAAGGCAACCAGGAGTTATCGCTAAATTGTCGGCTTGACCTTCCTGCCATTCCGCCTGCATGCCAAACCTCAAGGACCAAGGTGCATGGCGCGAAGCGCCACTGCAGTCTTATATATATATATACATTTATTTATATATATATATATATAAATAAAAGTCGAATAGAGTAGAGGAGCGTCAAGTAGAGTAGAGTAAGTAGAGTTGACCAGCGTAGAGTGACTGTTAGACTGACTGAGCATGGATCTCGAGCCGCGCCGCGCAGCGCCACGCTGCGGGCCGCCCAGCCTGTGCTGCCCCCCTCCGCTGCTGCCGCGGAGAGCGAGGGGGGAGGGCCCCGAGGGGAACGAGCCCTGGATCCTTGGAGCTCCCCCCTCCTTCCCTCCTTCCCTCCCTCCTCCCCCCTTCCTCCCTTCTCCTCCCTCCCTCCCTCCTTCCTCCCTCCTCCCTCCTTCCTCCCTCAGGTTTGGCTCGAGCGGTTAGCAAACCGGTTCCGCGCCGATCCCCGCCGCGACGCCCGAAAGGGCCGCCACCCGCCAGGCGCGACGCCTGCTTACTCTCCTCCCTCCTACCCCCAGCGGCCTCGCGACGAGCCCGCTCATCATCGCAGAGCGCGCAAACAGCGCGCAAACGCCCGCACACTTTTAAGAGTGCATAAAGCCGCAATGATGCTCTCTCACCACCACTCTTTCCAGGGCCTCCCGCAGCAAGGCGCTGTCCCCACGACCTTGCCCCCGCCTCGCGCGTCGCCTCTCTCGCCAACGTCAGGGCTGCAGCAGCACGGTATGGCTACCTCCCCCACGCAGCGTATGGCTGCTCCTCCCTCTCCGTCCCTATATGCCACGCGCCTGCCTGCTGACTTTTTTCCTCCCCCCCAGCAGCCAGTGCACCAGAAAGGCAGCGCCCCTCCCGAACTCTGGTATTGCCTGCAGTGCGGCCGGGCCAATACCACTTTTGACGTTTCATGCCCCACCTGTTTTCCGACTCGGGCGGCAGGACCCCAGCAGGCGACACCCGGCCCCGCCAAAGGTCAGGAGCAGCACAAGC